CTCCTCAGCGAGTGTCCAATCCATCTCCACTTTCTCCTGCATATTTGTTGAGTGATTGGTTCTTGTTTTGTTTGTTCCCATAGTTTCTTGTTGGTGATTCTTTCAGGCCATCTGATCTTCAGTATAGAACGAAGACAGTAGTTCATAAAGGTCTTCAACAGGCTGTTGAAAATATTCTTTGTGACCCGCTGCCAAGTTTCTGATCCGTATAGAAGGAATGACCTGACGTTTGTATTGTGAATCCGAATTTTGTTGTTGATGCAGGCTGAGTGACAGCGGAAGATTTCCAGATTGGTTTCAGGCTGATGAATGTGTTTCTCGCCTTCCCGATTCTCGCTCGATTTGACATCCTCGTCCGTTCCTCCTGTAGTTGAGACAATGCTTCCTAGATAAGTGAATGAAGTAACCTCTTTCAAATCCCTCCCGTTGATGGTGAGTGGCGCTGGATGTTGCTGTTGTTGTTGTTGGTTGGTTATTTTCATGACATCCGTCTTGTCTATGTTCACCTTCAGTCCTGTCTTTGCTGCTTCTTCGACCAGTTTGTCGGTTTTCTCTTGTAAGTCTTCGATTTTGTGTGACATCAAACATAAATCATCCGCGAAATCCAGGTCTTCTAGGTTCTTCACGTCGGTCCAGGATATCCCTGTCTTCTCGTTTCCCACTGTCTGACGCATAATCCAGTCCACCACAATTAGGAATATCATTGGTGATAATAAGCACCCTTGTCTGACTCCTGTGTTTACTCCAAACGCTTCGCTGAGTTTTCCGTTGTGGATCACTTGACATGTGCCGTTGTCGTACAGCTGTTGAATAAGGTTGATGGTTGTATTTGGATGGAATGTAAATAACCAATTTGCAAATTAGTCTTTCTAGCGGTTATAACTAACTAGCTCCTTCTAATAGACTGGGGATCTTGCCAACCAGCGCATCATAAATAATTTTTGAATAACCTTATATATTTAATGACATGACTATGTGTTCTTGTTGGGATGTATAGACGTCTTTACTAGCCGTGAAGTTGTGATTTATGCATGTACTGACATGATTAACTTGCTACGACAGTTTTGATTGGTTTATTTGTGGAAAGTCAGACAACCAATCAGATTTGTCTTATTAATGGCTTAAATTTCTGAGGATTTGTAAATGTAATATACCATGTATTTCCCGCCCAAAAAACGTATGGTGGCTGTTGTTATCCTTTCAGTTGTTGCTTTTCCCAATTTGAATTTTATGTCTATTTCAGTGTGAGAGATATCTTCAAATAATCAGTTGGTTACAGTGTTGTTTTCTTGAGGCGCATTCTAGTAATACGTTAAACGAAATCACAAGGCAGTATCACTCCATTATAAACAGTTCTATCCTCAACGGCCAAAAACGACTACTGAATATTAAAATTGCCTGTAAAATATTTATCTTTTTGATTGGCGTAGACTAAAGTAATCGTATTGAGGGTTACAGTACACACCTAGACTCATTAAATAAACTCAGCTTGGCTTTCCCGGCTGATTGATTAGACCAAAGTGCTAGTAGACCTCAGCTTGACATTTCAGCGATTTGGAGTCTCTGAAACTATGGCTACACTGGGTTCGAGGCTCAGTGGAAACATCATCACTCATCACTGGGGAATTCAAGTACACCCAGCTGATAAGTCTTAAATAGGATGAAAATGCAGTGCATTTTGGATTCCATTGCTCGTCGTCACTCACCATCCACCAATACTTAAAAGTCATGTGATTAAGATAATAATAAGTTTCTCCTAGGTAATACATGAAGACCAATTATGTGAAGGAAAGGAAGAAAGAAAGTGTAAAATCAATAAAAGACAGAAGAGTTACTCATCAAATAGCCTAGAGGAAACAACAACAACAACTTACTTTGACTACCACCACCACCACTAATAATAATTCCAGATGAATCATTCATTGGTAAACTCGTAGGCGAATCGAAGCCATAGAATTTTGATTTAACCTTATCACCACCACCACTCCCACCACTAGTGGTAGTAGTAGTATTAGTAGTATCAACTTCATTTGATGATGATTTTTTTGACTTTGATGTTGTATTACCACCCATGGTCGAAGAGATTTTACGTTGTTTTTCCGGTTCCATAGTTATCCATGGATCACGATTAGGCGAAATAGTACCCTTCATTGTATCATCATCATCATCATTGTCGTCATCAGTATTACTGTCATCATTGTCAGCCGACTGGTGATTCTGATGCTGGCGATGACGATGACTGTGTGATGACCCAGATGATGATAATACCAATAATAGTGAATGTTGTCTGTCCGATGAGTCAGATTCCTCGGTAATTTCTTCTTTTTCATTGTTCTTCAATAAACTGGTCTTATCGGATTGATAGTGATGCTTCTTATTGCTATGCTTATTCTTATTAGTATTAGTATTATTATCATTATTATTAGTAGTATTAGTATTGTTATTGTTGTTATTATTGAATTTTCGTAAACTAGACATATTTCGATTATGACTTGCATGACTATGAGATGAAAAGTGAGAAATATACATAAAAGTAATAAGAAGTTACAGTGATTTTCATTATTATTATTATTATTTCATAGAAAAGAGATACTGTATATATAATAAGGCAAACACAGACCCATAAACATATATATACATGGTTCGACAGAAGAAGGTCTCTTCAGCTGATGTCTAGATAGTGTAACTACGATCACTCCACTATATTCCTTCATTTCCCTCATGAGTCGAATATTTCAAGAAAGAAAACAACAACTATAGAATGCTTCAATTCTACTGTGGGAAAAATTTATTTTGATAAAGTTTCACAGTGTTAGTGATGACCACTTTTCTGCTGCTCACAATCATCTTATTAATCACATCAAGGCACTCACACAACTTCCCAGCTTCGTTTATATAATTTCACATTATTTCTCATCTCTTGATGTGATTGGTAGTAAGTAATATTTTCCATATATCTCCGGTATGAGTGATGAGTTATTCTTATTGCATGTGTTGGGTGTAGATTCGATGAACAAAGACTCCGTAATCAATTTCTCTATCTCCCTCTATCAATCTGTATCACTTTTTAGAATTGTAACTCTGTCCCACCCTACTGTGCGGTTGTGCGTTAAAGCATTCAGTGCTTTTCAATAAATTACTTATCTTCACGGATGGGGTCAATCTTTCTAATCTTAGGTAAATTCTTATGTTCTGATAATCTCACTACTTCTGATCTACCAGTTTCCCGACCAATAGATGCTACCTTGACGTGGTGGTCGGGCTTGCATATCGCAATGACCCAACAAGCTACACTGGCTGGAACTATTGTTCCTACAGGTCCTACCATGCCAGGAAGATTATTAGGATAGCGATTAGACTAAAAGCAGTTACCAGCTTAGTGTAAGAATTTTGTTTTTACACTATGCTGAGGGTCTGAGGGCGAAGTCGTACTGCTGGGGAACAAGGATGAAACAGAAGTAAGGTGTTTACCTCAGAAGACCAGCATGCAAGCTAGCTATGCTGTCTCTCCACTCTGGAGAGAGGGGGTTAGAAAAGGTTGACCCCAAAAATTGTACATCCCGACTTACCCTACGGTGGTCCGTAACCAGCGTTAAGTTTACTAATACGGAACCGATCCAAGAAACCAGTTCATACAGGCCGTGTGTGACGAGCCAGCATCAAGCAGTTATCCCCTGGGCTCTGCAGTCACGCAACACTAACCCTCTTTCTGTTTTAGGTACCCGAAGACTCAATCAACTTCCACGGTGTGGGCAGCCGGGAAGTAACAACCGCCCACACACTTCCAAAAGCACACGAAGCCTTCCTGAGATCTATGTAGTCGACTTAACTCACAGTAACAGCAAGGTATTTTGTAAATTATATTAGTTTGTTTAATTGGGTCAACCAACAGAGTCCTTTAACCTACAGAACTTGTGCTACCTGAGTGAGTTTGTAGGTTTAAATGCCACCACCCTAATTCCTGCTTTATTAAGAATCTTGCATAGGGTCTCAGATGCCCCCTGCTTATATGGTAAAACCATAGATCACTTATATTCTTTCTGACTTATTTTATCACTATTAGTTTCACCATTATTTAAGTCGAATGAAGTCAGAAAGTTGTGTGAGTAACTTGATATAATGACGATGAGTAATAAATTTTGCTCTAAGTGTGGTCATCAGTAAATATTATTGTATTACAATATGAAACTTTATCAAAATAGATTTTCTCCATAATGGAATTACATCCAACGACAGTGTGTCCGAGTTCTATTCTGAAAGAATGGCCTTAGTTATTACATAATTACAACCCGATATTAAATGAATTCCCAATCAAAATCTTTTCAGTGATAATCAGGTGTGAAAAGAACACTGTGCGCTATTGAAATGACCACACATACACACACACACACGGCAAACAGAAAAATGCTACAGGAGAAAAGAATAATGTAAAAGAGTTCAGGTTTGAGCAAACGGTACATATACTTCACTAACTGGAGTAGGAATACCCACTAACGACTGACGCGAACCGTTTTCATCATTCGTCCTACAAATTCAAATTAATCATGGATATTTGTTACTATTCAGCTGCTAGGCACTTTACCGAGGCGACGACTACGACTACTACTACTGCAGTTAGTTAGTTAGTTAGTTGGGAAGACAATTTATCTTAACAGAACCAAGATAGAAAAAGTGTATGCGAGTGAATTACAGCTTGAATAACAAAAAAGGCGCTAAGGCGATTTAGAGTGATCCAGTGTCGTGAATAATGTGTGAAATATACAAAGAGTAAACAGCATAAACATGTAACAGACAAACAAACAAACAAATAGACAAACAAAGGGGATAGATTCCACGTGAAAGCATCATTTCTATACTGAAGGCAGTCGTCTACAGGTTGCATGAAATACCAACAAACACACACACACAAACAAACAAAGATATCGGAACAGAATAGAAAGTAAAATCTGTGCCTCAGAATAAATCCAACAAGTAATATGAAATCAATAAATGATGACTACATGTTTGACTTCCCCATTCCATCCAATTGACCCTTTCTATAGTAAGTAGATGACAGGTAGAGATAAAAGGTGGACTTATAAAAACTCTCCTAGTCTAATGGAGAAGATTTGCAGCTTAGATGGATGGTTTTGATGTAGTTTTGTTCTCTAAACTGTCTGAATGTTTTCTCTGTTTGTTTGGTTTTTCTTTGCGTTCCCAGTGGTGGAACCGTAGGACTTCAAGCTAGAGGCTTGAAGTTTCGGTAGCAGCAATGTTTATTTTTACAGGATGAGGTCACTAGCCTCATCCCCAGCCTCCCCTCTTTACCAGTCTTATTACTGGTTTAGTGAGGTAAAGGAGAGCGTCTATGGCCGAGGATCGAACCCCGGACCACGTGATGCGTGGTTGGTGAGCAATCTACCGCTGGACTGCCGATGGACTTTTAAGCTGTCCGAATGCAAAAGCATAAATCAGCTGTGAAAAGGCACGATATGTATTTCTCTTTCATATCGATGCATGCAGATAATGATGGACACTAATGTGATTGAGATAATGTAAAAGTTTTAAGTAGAGGAAACATCAAAAATACTGCCACCAGGGAATTTCTAGAAGTTTGGTGGTACTCAAATGAATCAGTCATCGATTGAAAAACACATTACTATAAAGAGAATTTACAAGCTAATAGAAATGAGGTCACATGACAAGAAAGTTCAAATTCTAAGTCAATAAAAATGACCCAAAAGAGAGATGGAAACTAACAACCAGTCACAACAGTAGTTGTCAGGAGATACAATTATATCATCATTCATGGAGAGAATTCAAATAAGTTTATTTTATGATAAAACCCAGGTAGAAACGATGTTGTCCTGAAAGGGGACAACGAAAGCTCCAGAATTAAATCAACCACATCACAATTGTTGATACTAGATGGTTGAAGGCAATCTGCCATAAGAAGCATTGCTTCACTTAGGTTTCGCGCCAGTTGGTACTCACCACTCAGTCAGCAAGACGTATCTGCAACCTTGAAGGAACTCATGCCCCGTGATGGCTAGCTACCTTGCATGGTAGCCACATTGCAACTAACTAGTGTCCAATCAACCATCTCAGAGAACAAACACATCCAAATAAAAATAACTCTCGTAGTCTATTTACACATAAGAAATAAAACAAGAATAAAGAAAGAATGATAGATTTACACATCTGAAACAATATATCATCTGATATAATGTGCATACTACTTTAATTTATTGGTTATTTTAGACAAGGAAATTAACCAGTGACTTTTCCTCTGCCTTCTAATAACATACATAGACAAATACGAAGCCACTGTCTGTCAATTTGAACTGGAGTTCAGCACTTCAAGCTGCCGTACTACACACATAGTACACAGAGGTAGATGAAAGACAGAAACTCAAAAGAACTATAATAAATAGAAAAGTGCTGGAGAAAACATGAGTGTCCAATGAATATGGGAGACAGTAAAGAGTGAATGCATCTACGCCAGTGAGAACCGTTCCAAGCCATATCACCAATAATCTACACAACTATCAGTTACTAGCATCTTGAGGACCCCCAGGTCAGGTAGCCTACAACATCTCTACACAGCTGGCTCAAACCAGCAAATGTCATAGACTCCATGGAGTGAACCCAAGTTTAATTTATCCCACCCCTCACATAATCCTATATAAGGCTAATACTACCCATCAAGGAAGGCAGTAAACTGAGCATGACCAACACATACCTTATAGCCATCTCAACTGACGTGAATTCACAACCTCATCGATTAACTTTGCTTCTTTATCAAACACTATTATGCCTAACCTCAATATTTGCAATTATATCATACCATTTGACACAGGAGCTAGAAGGCGAACATCTATGGTCAAAACCAGTTGGCCTTCTCCTATCTTCTACTTTCAATAACCATGTGTACACAAGTCTTTTGATCGATAGCCTAGTGTCAGAAGAAGATGGCAGTGATTAGGATGACAAGAAAGAATTCTATTGTTTTTTTCACATCACACTTATACATACCTACATTATCCTACTTAAGAAAAGAAAGTAGTGTGAATACTAATACTAAAAATAATCTACTAATATATATATATATATATATATAAATTAATTCAGTTTGCTAACTCCTTCTTTGCCTTGTAACTAGGACGTCCTGAGTTCGAACCCCGGTATGTGCGTACTGCCGAAGAGTCCAAAACTAGGACGAAACAGTCGTCCAGTACCCCCAGTGGTTCTCTAACTGATGTCAGCTCATGATGAAATTCTCCATCCAATCAAACAAAATACCTACAAAACCAATACTTGAAAATTAATCTGATGCTCACTAGAGACTGGCCCTATTCAGGTAGTTAGTTACCTGAGGTTCTAGTGGGAAGCCGTGACCAGTAGGATACAGCAGGTTGAAGATGAGGCAGTAACTCATTGAAGAAGACATTGTGAAATGGTCGCGCTATATCGTGAACTCCTTCTTTTTCTTCAGATGAAAATACAAGAGCTAATTTATAA